GACTCCAAACTGACCCCAAAGAGGTAACTGCCATATACTTCTCCCATTGTTTCTAGAAATTAAGATTAGTTCAAAAATTATTTTGTTTCTTAGTAGTGTTGAAGTGAGGTGGTTGTTTTTTTAGACTCCCTGACAAAATCTCTTTCAAGGTTCTCAGATGAGTGTGAAGTCCTGAAAGGATAGCATCAACATGGATGTACTATGAACGTGATTAAGCTAGTGTGATATAACCATCTTGTCTGTCAAGAAGCTAGTGGCCAACTATTGCATCCTGAACTACTGCAGTGAGGACAAAGAGGCAGGAGGATTTTATGGGCAGCATTTCCCAAAAAGGGACAGCCAGTAGCTATCATGTCGCCCTGGGAGTAAGCACATGCCCCAGTTGAAAAAGATTTTTTTGCAATAGTTAGTTAAAAGTTTCATCAGTATGTTCAATGATGGCAAAGCTAAGTAGGGTGATGAAGCTAAGTAGGAAATGACCATGTGGCTCTTGAAAGCATTTTGACATCATGGTTAATAGTCACAGGATAAACCTTTCCACATGCCACTGAAACAGCATTGCTACAGTTGAGATGAGCATTATGTGGAAGGCCCAGAACTCATGGTTGACTTTTTATCCACTGCCACCTTGCAACATGAATGCAGCTACTGAGACAGAGCATGATGCCTGTATAGAATTAGAATATAATGTTTCATGTCAAGTGAACACCTTATGTCTTGTATCGCCAATGTCAGTACAGCCAGAAGTTGTAGGAGTCGCAGACAAAAAGGAAGAAAGATACATAAAGAACTAAGCCTACTAGGATAAATAAGGCAAAGAGCACCTTCCAAAATGCAGATGGCAGATTCTGTCACAAATTGTTTCATCAGATTATTTACTTGGAAGCAATTGCTGAACAGATAAAATGAAGTAAATAAAGTAACTATGGGTGGAGAGAAATTTCACCAAAACCACAGTATATTCCGCCACTATGAACATAAGACAAAAAACACATATATGGATGTTAGCAAAACATGGACTCCACTGACATTTGATTAGCAGTATATGGGAGAAAATGTAGGCCAGCAGGCAACTCATAGAGATCAAAAGAGATGTGCAAAACAACTCTACCATGGTAGGGAATAAAGAGTAAAAGAAAAGTTAACATCAAGTCTTAAGATGATAGCATGGATAAGGTATTAAGATGTAAGCAGGCTATAGTATTAATATTTAAGTTTGCTGTCTCTGATAACTGTGTGAAAAGTGATATGATAGGTAGTTTTCCCAAAAGGGAACTTTATAGTATGTTTATAAGATCACATCTAGGAAATTTGGAACAGATCGCATCCAGCTTCTTTCATGGAATCTGCAAACCCAAGTTATGTGCCCCTGTTCCCTATGGAATGGATGGGGAAAGTCAGGAGCTTCAGCCTGGAATTAACAACACCTAGGATAGCACAAATAATTCCACAGAAATAAATAATAATATATTTATATACATATTAAATAATAATAGTACATGATGAAGTACACAGAAGTGTCCACTTTCAAATTAGGATTGTGCCTGGTTGCACTGGCTGAAAGGAAATCACCTTCAGTTCAAGGAAATGCTGTGCAATTACCCTTACTATGCCACAGTATCTGTACTAATATCTGTTCTTATAGCCACTGGCATCTCTTGAGAAGAGGTTGCCAATCATCATTCATTGTACCAAATTGTGATCTGAATTTTTTATGTAGATATATGGGTGCTGTGCTGGAGTCAACTATCTCATATTCTTTTATGACCTCAGTAGTGAACCCAGATATCAAGACTTTTTAAAAACTAGAGCACTATTTTACATGAAAAGACCCAGGAGCTTAGAGCAGTGGGGTCCAACCTTTTTGGCTTGGCAGGCATGCCACAAATTAGCCCCACAAACTCCTCAAATGCCATTTTCATCTCCTTCCTCAGTTTGATTTGTTGCTCTGCTTTCTGCTTCCTTCCTTGTGCTCCCTGCCCAATTTACTGCTTTGCTTTCTGCTTCTTGATCTACCTGTCACTGTGCTAGTTGCCACTTGTGGCACTCCTGCTGTAGACTGGCCATCCTTGGTCCAAACTCTGCCTGCTCCCTTGGTATCCTGACTATTGATAAAACTGATCTTTGAAAAGAGACGCATTATGTCTAGAAATGCTCTTTTACAACTGCAACCAGAAACATGCATACCCACCTCTGCATGTGATATGATAAGCCATTTATTTACTATGCACGTGATAAAAGTGGATCAGCATAAATACTTGTTTGAGGCTCTTCTCTTCTGTTGTCTTGTTGTTGCTTTCTGATGCACCTACCCTGTTTCCCAATTGGCAGTGCAGTAAAAACATTGTGGGAAGGTTTTAATATTAGGGAGTGCAAATTTGAAGGAAGATATGTACATTTGTCACATGTCAGAGCATCCATAATATGTCAGCACTTGTAGGGGGGAGCGGTGCGGGGAGAAAGACAGATTGATTTTTGTTGCTATTGTTTCGTGCAGGTTCCTGAAGCCTAAAGGCAGTAACTTCATAACTTGCAAATGGATACAATCTCTTGGCAACCATAAAAGCACAGACCGAAACATTGCCCCCAGATATACACCTGTAGTTTCTGCTGAGCTCAATCTGAAGCCACCTGTAGGTCTGTAGGTATATTAGTTTTCAGTGCTCCAAATGTGATCCCTTTAGACCTTGGAGTTGCTTCAATTTTAGTTTGGTCCCAATACATTTTTACTTTCCTAGGGTCTTGTAGCATGATCCTGAGATGTGCTGTTTAACCCCAACTTATGCTATCTTCAATGAGCCTTTAGTGCAGTTAAAGGTGTGATTTCTAGTTTTGTACAGAGTAATGGGTGTATTACTGGATTTTGTAGGAAATATTTAGGGGTATCTTCTTGAAGACCCAAGTTATCATATGATGTGTTCAGTGTGCTGTAACACAAAAAGCTATTTTGCATCTTGATAACTTCAGTGGTGTGATCTGTCCAAATCCCAGAAATTTGATGCGCAGTTCCAGTCAGAATACTAATTTTCTTAAATTGGATTTTGGGGTACCTTGTTTGTTTGTAAGTGAAAAGGGCTGTGTGAAAGTGCGGTCCTACTTGCCAGGCCTGGAGACCGAAGCTGGGATCTAAAAGTCACGCTTGATTCTGTATTTGTAGATTGCACCACTTATAATACAGTTTCTTCAACTCAAATACAACTCTAGCTTAGACCTAAGAATCCCATTGTTTCAGACATACAGGAAGAAAAATGAGACATGAAGTCTGATTTAATAAGCTAACGACTTTAGTAATGTAACTAACCAGGGAAGTAGCTGTCAATTTTCTTTCTGCTTATAGAGCTGCTGTCCACCCCTAATGATGCTACGGACGGTCCCAGCCAATGGGACCATAGCACTGTTTCTTTCAAAAACTCAATCCCAAAAAAGCTGCAGATCTCAAGGGTGGAAATGTACGAGCTGACTGGCCCAAAATGGTGGAGAGAAATGGTTCTATTTAGGAACCAATGGATTTCTTCAGGGCTCCTGCTGTAATCCTCTACTTACCCTTCCCCAAAACGCTGAAGCTGCTGCTGCTGCAAAGAGGGAGAATGAGGAAAGCCTCCTTCAACAGGTTATTCCCCTTTTCCCCCTACTGATCTTGAAAATAAACTTTACTTTGAGTCATGGGGTTCAGCTCATGACTTCAGATTATTTTTTCATCAACATACAGCCCTATCACTTTCAGTGGGTTTCACTGGGGGGAGAAATGGTTTTGTTTTCTTCTCATTTTTCCCTAAACTAGGCCTTTGCTTTGAGTGTAAACATCAACTTCCTGCTATGGGAGGCCTTCAAGGAAAACTCATGATCCTATTGGTAGTTCAATAGTGAGCACTGGTGAATCAGTGCTACAGTTTGGTGTGTTCTTGACCAGAGTTGTTAACCAGTTGTAATTATTGAAGGTCATTTGTCATGCTTTTAAGATCACTGGTGTTAGCTCCAGTATCCTGGCTAAATTCGGGCTTGTGTAATTATTTTCTTTCTGCCTAAATTCCATTCCTAATTCAACAGGGTAAGTATTCTTCACTTCCTATTCTTGAACTATTTAGCATTTTAGTAAAACTAAACAGCACCATTTCAGAGGCAGTGAATGTATTGCTGTTACAGGAAGAGTAAGCCCTTTATAAATACTTTCTTAAATTATAATGTTTCGGGAGCCATGACTGAACACAAGATAAATTAATTAGTGTGAATTATTATAATTAGAACTTAACAAGAAATCTTATCCTGTTTTATGAATAAATCTCAAAGCACTAACCAGGTAGGTCAGTAGCATTGTTTCCATTTTACAGCCAGGAAAACTGAGACTCACAGAGTTGACTCACTTGTCCATGTTTACCTGGCAGGCCAATTACTGAAAATGTGTGGAACACAAGTCTCCTAAATCCCAATATGTGCTGTCTAGCCATGTGGCAACACACCGTCTCCTGTTAGTCTGTCTCCTTTCCTTAAGGAGTTAGATGTTCTTGACCATAAATAACAATGTTCATATGAGGGTGAATATTTATCTATTTTTCACCAAGTCTGTGAATTATTAAGGAAAATGTTAAGGATAAAATATGAATATAAAATTACTTTCCTAGTGAGTTCCTTTTATCAAAGCATGCAATACCGCAGGAGCATCCACATTGAACCCATTCTATAAGCTAGCCAAGTAGATTTGCTTTCTAAGTATTTTAAGGTTCATATGCAAGTTACAACTGAACTGTTTTGACATGATGTGGAAATGGAGCTAATATAGCTACTGTCCTGTGTGCCAGAATTGCATTCTTGGAATTTCTGAGCCTAAAAAATCAGTTTGTTATGCAGTATAAATGAGGTAGCAAATCTGAGAAATATGCTTTGATTTGAAAATAACAAAGGATATGTTCCCCACAGGCCATTCCTGCCCCACACCCTGTTCTGTTTTAGGAAATAAATAGTGTCTTTCATTTATTACTTGTGATTTTTTTTTATGATTTCAGGATTCCTCTTCAATTGGAACAGCTACAATGGCTGGACCCAGAGCAAGTGCAATAATTGGAGATCAGGGAACACCGCCAAAGGTCCAGCTCCCCCTCAATATGTAAGCAGCCAGCTAATCTTAATCACAGGCGAGCATTTTGTAAATCGTGTGTGTGTGTGTGTGTGTGTGTGTGTGTGTGTGTGTGTGTGTGTAATTTGAAAGAGTTGATTTCAGAATAGTTATCTCAGTCTCAGACATGACCCAACCTCTGCTGAAACTGAAAAATGAACAGTGAAAGGCCAGGTCACCTTTCCATACATAGCCCTTTTAGACTTCTAGAATATTTATAACAGCCATATGAATCATTTCAAAGCAAATAGAGTTCCTATCAGCTACAGAAAATCTGCTCCCTTAAATAAAGCTTTTATGAAGGTGAACTCCCCTACAATTGAACACCTGAGACAATTATCATTAACCATACAAACAACCCAATTACATTTTTTCAGTACCATAAACAAAGGCATCAAATGAATGTTTTAAATACAAGAACATAGTAAGAATATATGCTTATTAAATAGTATTTGCAAGAACAGAAGGTTGATGAGATAGGGCAGAGAGTGATAGAATCCATTATAGTACATTTTTTTTAGCCCAATGGCTAAAACTTGGTTCCTGCCTAGTTAAACTACTGAACCCCTTCTTCCAATCAAATAGGTATTTAAAAAAACAATGGAACTTTATGCACAAAAGTATTACATCCTAAAATAATATCTGAAATTCACACATAAAACTTAAAGCAAGGTGACAGATCTGCTATAAACAGAATAGAGAACTGAGAGCCAATCATAAAAATTCAACTCTTAATCATCCCACTCAGCTAAAGTCAGGCACTAAAGCTCAGAGGACACAGCACCCTCCCCCACTGTTCAGAGGTTCTGGTAAAAGGATCACAACCTTCCCTGCAGTCATATCATGAAGTTCCTGTGATAATGATGCAATTACATACACACTGAGGCAAATCTTTCCTTTACTTTTTCCACTGCTTAGGACTGACCAGATTGTGGTTCTGCTCTGCCAGGGATGGCAGGACTGTGCAAAAAGCTACAATGCCTTCCACAGTGCCTAGGGCCCAGCTTTAAGGGGATCTCTGCATGATACTAGGCCGGGGTGGGCAAAATGTGGCCCGTGGGCTGGATGCGGCCCACCAGGCCATTCTATCCAGCCCCCAGGGCCCCTACAAAAATCAGAAAATTGATATTTATCTGCCCCTGGCTGCCTGTCATGCGGCCCTCAATGGCTTGCCAAAACTCAGTAAGTGGCCTCCGCCCGAAATAATTGCCCACCCCTGCACTAGGCGAAGTACTGACCAACAGATCCATTGTCTCCTAGGTATTTTGATCCTTATCACCTCTGGAGAGGTCAGACTAAGGCTCTGACCCTCTGCAGAGCTTCTCTGTTGTTGTTCTACAGGCTCGGTGACTGGATTTTTCTCTTTTTGTCTTTGGAGGGACACCACTGATCTGCTGATCAGGTTGAATGCTGGGGCCTAGGACTTCAGACAAACATTGCTAACTATGTCTCTCTTCCTGGATTTGTCCCATAGGGTATCTATACACATGCTCCAGTGTGGCAGAGGTGGTTTTAATTAGAGTGGCTCCTGGACAGCTGCTCTAATTAAAACACCTGCAATGTCACATGTATTCAGCGTCCTGTGTTTCAAAATGGCCATGGGGGCACTTTAACTGAAGCTCATTCGATGAGTTTTGAAACGCAGGATGCTGAATACATGTGACAGTGAGGTACGCTGGAGTGTTCTAATTTGAGTATTCTAATTCAGTCTGGAGAATTCTAATTGAGTCTGCTCCAACACGTTCTAATTAAAATGCAGTGGAGCACATGTATAAGCACCCATAGTGCCAGCAGATGATTTACAGAATATACCATTTCTCTGGCATTGGTATCTACCATAAGTACCACATTCACTTTAAAAGTCTGATTAATTAAGCAACAAGCAAACCACTCCCTCTATATGAAGAACTAATAAACTTCAATATTGCCATGTGCCTATGTACTGCAATCAGGCCATTTTTTAATTATATTAAAAACAATTAAAAAAAACAGAAGTATATACATTTGCTTCATGACCCTGACTTTCATTTTATACTTACAAGCCAGGTTACAACCCCAAAAGGGGATTGCAGAGAGACCCTTAAATAAAGCACTACAGATTCTAGGTTATAATTAGTCACAGCCAACTCTTTTCAGCCATAACCTGCCTTTAAGGCTGGAATTTCTGGTAGAGGCCGTTTGAGGCAAAACAGTTTGCAGTCGTTTACTCTAGGGTCCTTCTCTCTAACACATCGTATCACTATTGTGACACTGCCTGATGCAACGTTTTGTTCCATTTAGTGAGGTTGAGGGTTTTCACACTTTCCTCTTAGCCACGCAGTGCTAGCTATTGGATTTTTTAACATCTAAAAACTAGACAATGATGAGAAGCAGGCAATTCATAGGTTTTCTGATTCAAATACAACTGGTCTTAGGAAACAAAGCATCTAGTCTTGATTGTCTGTTGTGACTCCCAGAAAGAAAAAAGAGAACATGGAAACTACTGCTCCTGAGCTAAGCTGGCTGCAGTAGAATTGTATTCAGCTATGTTTGACAATAGGTGTGACTCTCTTATGCTTTCTCCTAGTCAACAAATGGTGAATGCAGTTGCCCCAATAGTCTGGATGTTGTCAGCCACATTCAAGAAGTATTGTTAGACCCCGATAGAAGGAGGGATTAACACTCTTTGATGCTTTGAGTCTATCCCTGCTGGCAACAGTTTGCAGTATTTGCTTAGGTTGGACATAGTGTCAAACTCAACACTTTTCTAAGTGCTGCTACTGGCAATTCCATAGCAAATAAAGATGAGGAAACCAGCAGATTACTTAAACATCAAGTAATCAGGTAACCTGGGCATGAAAGAAACCTGCATGGTTCAATGTGAAACCATTTAAACAATGATATTCAACATGAATAGTTGCACAGTTTCTGTCACTAGCAAAACCAAGATTACCTGAGTTGGAGGATCTAGAAATAGTGCTGTTTTATTATACAGATTAGTTTTAAGCTTATCTTATTTTACAACTCCACAGGTCTGTGTTAACACTGTCAAACAAATAAGAGGGAAATTAGCGAACAAATTAGCAGAAAAGTTGCAAAATCTAATACAAAGTTCCCATTAACTTTATTGGGAGCAGCATAGTTTTCTAAACTGATTATAGCACATTAAGAGATGACAGTGAGCAAAGGGGAAGAGAAAGGGGAATGGGAGGACTGCAACAGCACCATTTGGGAGATTTTAATTTCATTCTTAATGTTACATCCACACTTCATTGATTAATCTTTGAGAATTTGGGGTAGGGAGGGAAGAGGTGGAGTTGCAGGGGCTTACATTGTCATTTGAGGTTTTGGTATAGTGGCTGTATGGAGGAGTCATGCAGGGGTAAGCAATAGAAAACACTGCTTAAAATGGCACATAGTTGATCCTATATATATAAAAATAATATGATAAGACTATGGAAGAAGTAATGCCCACCATCTGTTGACATAAGGAATCACTTGAAATGTGCTCTTACCAGTAAAAAATAACCAGAACTCCTTTATTTATGTGCATGTTATTTTTACCTGTATGTTATATGCAGATTGGGTCAAATTCAGAAGTGAGAACATCTAATCTGGTATAATGTATATGCTTTTTAGTCCTCTTAGCAAGTGCAAATGTCTAACTTAGACTTCTTTGGACTGACTGGCTTCTTTGGACTCAATTATCAACTCTGGCTCTGAGTCTGAGTTGTATCAGGTGAAATATAAATGGCCAGGAGTCAGAAAAGAGAGGTGTAACTAGCAGGAGACTTGGGCTAGGGAAAGAAGTTACACATAAACTGGTTTAAGTGACCAGAAATTGGTTTAAACCTGTAAACGAACAGAAGTTCAGTGCATGTAAACAAATTTCAAAATGGGTGAAACTGATGGAAGATAAACTTGATTGAATGTAGTGTCAGACTTAACTGGTTTGGGTCAAACTGGTTTATGAAACTTCTTTTCCAGACCTCTTCCTGGTTCAAGTTAAATCACAGTCCCCCAGCATCCCTGCATGCTTTGCAGCCCTGGGCTGGGCTGGGCTGGGCTGTCTTGTCTGCTCCACAGAGCAAGTCTGGCTCACTGGCCTTGCTGGCTGGTTCACTACCCTCTCGTGTTCTCCCAGGCAAACCCCTACTCCGGTCTGGGGCCAGAAAGGGAGTTAAACTTCCCTTCCCCTGAATATGGAGCTGCCCTGCCCTGCTTACTTAGTGCTGTGACTGTGGACTACAAATTCCAGAGGCACCTGCAAGCAAAAAGAGGAAGTGATGAGCAACCCTGCAGAGTCTTGTTAGTGTGAATCTGAACTGCAAATCCCAGAGACTTCAGGGGCAGCAGGAAGAGGAAGCGGACACACAGCCCATGCTGGCCACGTGCCAGAGAGCCATGCTGTAGCACCCCCCTGGCTTCTTTCTGAGCCACTACAAATATGTGGCTGCATTTACTGAATCAAAAGTGAATGTCTGTTCATTTGCTTATTGGTTCAATCTTGGCAGCTTAGACTAACCTGCAAAGATTTAATCAATTCAGCGTTGAGCTTTTTGACTGTCTGTACTTAGCCTTGGAGAACGGTGTAAGATAAGTACCCCAAACCCTAGTTTAGCTTAAACTTCTTTACACAATTCCAGTGCCTTAGCAGGTAAGTAACACCAGTATAGACTTTCTTAAGGCATCTTTACACCTGCTTTGAGGGGAAGGCGGGGTTAATTAGAATGGCTATTGGGAGCTGCTCTAATTAAAACACCTGCAGTGTCTTGTGTATTTAGCATCCCACATTTCAAAATGGAAGTGGGGGCGCTTTAACTAAAGCTCATTTGACAAGCTTTAGTTAAAGCCCACTCCGCTGCCATTTTGAAATGCAAGGACACTGAATACATGTAACAGCAAGGCTGCTAGAATGCATCAGACCCAGTGTCAGGAACACATATAAGTGCCCTTATGTTGATAAAAAGGTTAAGTCATTCTAAGACAGTCTGAATTAGGCTGTTATGCCATTTTACACCTGACTTCTGAGTATGGCCCACTGTAAAACTAATACCTAGAAAATTACTAATCCAAGCCATTCTTTTTGATCTCAGTCTGTGCAGTCTCAGCACTTTTCATTGTATTCTAACAGCACAGTGATGAGGGATGAGCATTGATGCATGTAGCATTATTTCATGTCAGGCAGATGCATTTTAATGTTCTTCAGTTCATATGCAGCCTCATGTTTTCTGTCAGGCAAACAACAACAGACCTTATCAACACTACCTTATTCTAAAAACTGAACGAAGAATATGCAAAATGGTTTCTCCCGTCTGTTGGCTAATGAAATATAATTATTTGATTAGGTCTTTGTACCCTGTGCACATGGTAAATGGAGCCAAGCACATCAACCTAAGCATGCCCACAGGAGCTGTTACTAAATATTTTGTATTCTGCTCATTACAGCTGTTTATTTACTGCCTGCAAAATAAAAATAAAAAAATCTACTGGTATCATAAAAGGGTAGAATAGGGAAAACTAACAGGATTTATTCTTCAATTATGTTTCCTAGAGAGTAGAGGAAGAAGCCATGCATCGTTTTAATGGGTCGGAAGCTTACAATCACACTGGTTATAGTTTTCATTATATATTTGTTTCTCTGATACAAGGTCCACATTGAACTTCTTGCCCTGCCTCAATATGTAGGTATCGTGCTGCATGTTATGGTATAAATACCATTTTCATAGAGTTTACCCATGTACTCTAGTCCTTCTTCACAGCTGTAAATCAACACTCAGGCATGAACAACCATGAACTGGTAATGATTAGAAATCTCCTTTTTAGTATCTGCAGCAAGGGGAAAATGTCAAATGCTGATACGTACAAGTTAACAGTTGTTTTGTGTGGGCGCTTTTGCTATTTTTTATTATTTTATTATTATTATTATTATTTAACCAGCTTCATAACTATTCCCAGTGTACAGGCAATCATTCTTAATTTTTAACAAGCATCTCTCCAAAGAGTCTGAGCTACCTTCAGAGGAAAGAAGTTGTAGTCACTTGATAACATGAGACAAGGCCCTGAAGTAATGGAGGAAGAACAAAAGAAAGATGAAAAGGAAGGTCCTAAATAAAAGGAATAAATAAAACTGTAATAAAATATATTGAAAGTTTTGCATATTGGTATCACAAATAAGTGGTTATAAGCATACTAAATAGCTTTACACTAGAGTCAAATTCTAGTTGTTACTAAAGACAAAACTTGTATTAATTTTAAATGGGACTTTTGCCTTAGTAAGAACTTCATGACTTGTGCCTCATGCTAGTTTTTAAGATGAGGATTGTCCTATTCACATGAATAGGGGGGTTAAAACATAATACTGGATAAGACCAATAGTCTGTTTAGCCTGGTGGTGGTTTGGGCTGGGGGGGTTTTGGGTTTTTTTTTAATGATGCTGATCACTCCAAGATACTGCAGAGGAAGGTATAGAAAATTCTTCAGGAGACATTTGTAAAAATTCCTCTAAGAGAAATTTCCTAACCTAAATGGTCAGAGGTTGCCTCTTGCCCTGAAGCATGAGGACATAAATCCCTTCCAAATACCAGGCTTTTAAAAACTTTTTAATATTGTAATTCTGGATATTCTCTCTATCCATACACATGTCCAGTCCTATACCTAATGCTAAGCCCTTGGCTTCAGTGCTGTCTTGTGGCAATGAGTTCCACTGACTAACTGGGAGGAAAATATTAGTTCAATCAAGTTCAAAATTACTGCTTTTTAATCCTTGGTGGTCCCCTTTTATCACTTTAGGAGTGAGGATGAATAGTAGTGGTCAATTGCCCTGCTCCAATACCATTCATTATTCTGTATGGATTTTAATTATGTGTCTCAGTCATTCCTAGGCAGCATACATGTCACAGCACTTTCTGCACTATAAGACTGAAATCAGAATCTGATTGACACTTTTTCTAGCATCATCTCTTTTCTCTGTGCATGTGAAATTTTCCCTGCAGCTACTTAGCTCTGTATGCATACAAGCCTCAGAAGAATGACGAGCTGGAGCTCCGTAAAGGCGAAATGTATCGGGTCATAGAGAAGTGTCAGGATGGCTGGTTCAAGGGGACGTCTCTGAGGACTGGGATGTCTGGAGTCTTTCCAGGCAACTATGTGACTCCAGTTTCCAGGTGAGGACTGCTGCCCAGAGATTTCTGGTTTAGCAATTCATGGGGGAAGAGGCAGGAGGTTGCAGGTAAGGAAGATTGAAGAAGGGGCATATTTGTTTTTAAATGACATGCTGATCTACAAAAATCTTTCTTTGAGGCATCCCTGGTATCTTGGTTCATTGATTTTGGTTTAAGAATTAATCATTGTTTCAGGAGACATTGCTAATAATTTTAAATGACTATGCTTGTGGTTGATCAGCA